AAATAAACCAAATTAAAGTTTAGTTTGACTAAATTTAGGAATCATTTGGGATATTTTTTTACTATTTTCTAAAGTAGTTATCGAATATATTTTTTTTTTGAAAAAAATTTTGTACTAAAAAATTTCTTTAGAAATCAGTAGAAAAATAGTCCCAAGAGAAGCCATAGATTTAAAAATAATCCGGTCAATTTAGCTTTGTTAATTTTATTGCTGAAACCATTTGATCTAACAAAATTATAAATTAAACCATCAAAATCAGTAAAACACACTATTCCGTTGAGGATTATCAGGGGAGGAATCAAGAAAAGTTCAAGTAGGTAATTGCTCACCCTAAATTTTTTTTCTTTGCAAAAGAAATATTTTAACTATTTTGCTCACTTTCAATATATACAATTGCTTAAATTCTAAAAGATTAATTATTTTTTTATTTCATATATAAGATTATGTATTTCACAATTCTATTTTATACACTCTTAAAAAAGGCTAAAACTGCCCCTATAATCCTTCATCAATGGACTATAACATAGAAATTCCTAAGGTAAAAACACCACAAATTTTCCCCACAAACAATTTCTTTTAAGGTAGTGGTGGAGCCAAAAAATTTATTCAGAGGAGGCCTAAATTAAAATAGCTATGTTTGTTGTCTCATCTCGAATGTTAGAATACATTAAAATAATTCCGTTCACCATCTCATTATCAGAGCAAAGATAAGCTGTAAGATTAAAATTAAGAATACAAATAGCATGATTCTTATAGCTTAGGAGACAAATATCTGTCATGAACGGTCTCCGTTCTGAAGCGAGAGGAAAGAAAAGGGAAAATGAAAGCCATGCTGAAAGTCGTAAGTCGCAACTCGCAAGTCGTGAGAGAAGAGCAAAGGGGAAAACGAAATAGGTTGTTTGGGTCGAGAGAAAGCAAGCCGTTTGGGGTGGTATCTGTTTGGGCTTGGGCACGCGGAAGAGAAACCTGCTCGAGGTCGCCTAAGTATATCAAATTTGAAAATTATTAATACCACATTATTAAATTTATTAACAAATTTGAAAATCATTAATAATAAATTTGATATGCATGCGCAGGCGCAGAAAATTGATGTATATTAATATTAACCGTGTTGTAGTTTAACATTATCCATAAGCCGCTTAATTTAATTTGAAAAGTAATTAAATTGATTTTATTTTCTAAAATTTACAATCGAATTATTGACTTAATAAATTGCCAAATCGGTCAAATTTACGGTCGAATCTAAATTCCTCTACGAAAAACGAATTCGATAGCTTAAAATAGAAATCAAAATAAAAAACAAAATAAATCACATACTAATTGTGTTTATCATTATTATTATTATTTTGTAGGAACTATTGCCATTTTTTATACCTTGCACACCCCAGGCTAGCTCCGACGCTGAACGATGGTACTAAAACAGTAAAACTGAAGAGTACTTACTGATGGGAGAACGAAGGAAAGCATAGCAAAGATTATTAATTTTGACGGAATGAAATTATTAACCGATAGAGGGAGATAATGTATGTAGCTTATGAACTTTTCTCAAGCCTTTCGTGGAGAGCGAGACTCAGCCTATCGCCGCCCTGCAAAGCCTCCGGAACTCGAACAATTACGTCCTGAAGCATCAGTTCCTTAAAACTCACAACAGTTGCGTGCTGAACCACCAAACCAAGATCCCGCATCTCCGCCATCAACTTCGCCGGCGAGTGGCTCAAATTTTCCGACTGCACCCTAATCATAGCATCATCACCAAGAAGCTTGACCTCCACTTCAATGGTGGCGACCCCTCCACAACTTATTGATTTCGTCGTAACAGTACTACTTGGCATTTCTCTACCGACATAACTCTCCTTCTCTAAAAACACTTCCTTTTTAACCTTCTTCGCCTCTCTCTCCAGATCCTCCACCTTACCCTGCAGCTCTTTTATATACGAAACAGCATCGGCGAGGAGAGACGCTTTATCCATCCTCGATACGTTAGGTACCACCGAGCGGAGAGCATAGAAGCGGTGGTTGAGTTTCTCCCGCCGCTGTCGCTCTGCTTCCACGTGGTTCATTGGATTGTTATTATCAGGCGCCACAGAACTCCTAGTTTTCCTTCCATACTTTTTTGCCCGGCGGCAGCGTGATATCTCTTCCTCTGAATCCGAATGCTCCGATTTAACGGATGGCCAGAGTCCGTTCTTAAGCAAAGTGGCGGTGCCAGATAGAAAAGCTCTCGCTTGATGAACTATGGACCAGTTCTGGGCGACGAGAACGGAGGAGCCTAGTTCGAGAACGCCGTCCGGGGTTGACAAGTAGAGGAGGGTCTCGATGCCGTGGATCTGAGCTTCGCGGGAGCGGTCGCAGCCGCAGTTGGACAAGGCGTTGGCGCCGGCGAGCCAGACGGGAGCAGGGGAAGCATATGCGCGAGCAGGCGATGCAGTCTCGTCGGTGGCGAACGTTCGCGTCAAAGAAAGAGCATAGAACCACTCCATGTCGTCGGTGTCTCCGCCGCGGCTGCTGGTGCCGCGGAAATGGCCATCGCCGAAGGAAAGGAGGTGGTGTTCGGGGGAAGCACGCCAGAATATGGCGTAGGCCCAACATTCGGGGTGGGAGTTGAGAAGACATTGAAGGCGGTACTGAAGAGTTGAAGGGGGTGAGGACGAGGAAGAAGGTGAGATCTGCTTTTCCATTTCTGTGCAGGGTTAAATGGGAGATAGCAAGAGGGAGCAGAAATAGAGCGTGAGGATGCCGTGGCGTTCACCGTTGCTGTTACGGATGTTGGGCTTCGGTTATGTAGCGCCAATATAAGGGGAGAAAGGAAATTTGCCAGTCCGACAAAAGCTTTGACTTTCCACGCCTTCTAGTGCACATAATTTATAATGCATTTCTTATTTTTTATTGAGAAATATGCTAAAAATATTATTTTCATTGACATTTTTTATTGGATTGATTATTAAACTCTTTCATGAATAAAAATGCATCAAAATGTTTTGAAGTCGAGCTATATTAGAATCACGTTCATCAAACGTGTCAGCCCTGTAATGTATTTTTTAATCAACTCTTTTGTATGATGTGAATTGTTCTTCTATTGACATTGTTAGTGCCATCAAAGCATGTCCTCAATGAACACTTGTTACAAACTTCTATTCTCTTTCACACATCGTTGTTTGATTATGCTTTCCCCATAGTACTCAATTTGTGGCTCTTTTTCTAACGTCCTTGATGCCATCAAAGTTTGCTCCAAATGTGCTCTCATCATGAATTTCTCTTCTCCTTACAATGTCGTCGTGTAACAATGTCTTCCCAACGAGCTTAATTCGTGACTCTTCTTCTCCTCACACGTTGCCGATTTCATAAAAGCCTGCCACTAGCAAACTCATATTGCAAACTTCATTTATACGTCCCAAGCCCAAATGAAAAAAAAATTGAGGGAAAATTTTAATAAATTAATTTAGGTCTCCCTCAAAAAACTTTCTGGCTCCACCACTGGATCAGAATTCTTTTTATAATAGAAACTATGAGCTAAAAAGCCCGAGAGAGCTTCCTCTCTCTTCTCTCTCTCTCTCTCTCTCTCTCATTTCCTCTTTCTCCTTCTCTTATTTTCTGTTGGTTCCTTCCTAGCCAAGCTGCATAGGAAAGTGAGAGAGGGAGAGAAATGGCAAAGATATTTAAATTAAAATATATAAAAACTCATTTTAGTGTATGGCGACGTGGCGCTCTGACCTGACGTTGTATACACATTTCATAGTTATTGTAGAATAAAGGCGTTACTCCCCCCCCCCCCCCTCAAAATTAAAGCCGATTCTGCCCCTGCATCACATCACATGAAGGCAAAACATATGCCAAAATTCCATCAAAAGCTTAACTTATATAAAATAACACAAAACCATACAAACTTTGGTTGCTAAAGCTATCACTCTTCCACCTTCCAATATCAATCCCTCTAACTACCCCTTCATCTTCAACTCTCACAGCTTAAATGTTTCAACCAAACTAAGGTTTTGCGGCTTTCTTACTGCTTCTTAAAGCGGCTTTCTAGTGCAAAAAAATTAATTTTTGTACTAAAAAGCCGCTTTAAGAAGCATGAAGAAAGTAGTCCCAAACGAAGCCTAAATCTATTATCTCTCCCCATCTAACTCCATTAATTCCATCTCACCCATAAGACAAAGTCCACAAACATCCATAGCTATACTTCCCAGACATCCTATTGGATTGTATCTGCTATTAAACATATTCTAAGTTCATGTTATGTTAAAAAATAAATTCTTTTGGCCGTCCATCAACAGAAATTACACGGGTTGGGTTTAGACTTTAAATTGATCCGTCAATCTGATTTTAACACGAAAGAGACCCGCTTAATTTTTTTCCTTTAAAAAGTTTTATTTGTTTGTATGATCTACTTAGTTTTTATCAATTAATCTAAATTCTATGGTTAACAAGTTTTAATTTTTTTTAATAAAAATGGGTTATCAAGTTGAGACCCTGTCAATTGGGTTGCTAGCTGGTCTGATTTAGGTTCACCTTTTTGACCTATTTGTTAAATAGATTAGATTCGAGTTGATCATATTTGATTCGATTTAATTTTGAGTTAGCATCCGAACAGCCCTGATCATAATATACAACTATTTTTATAAGGTCGCAATCATACTGAACAAATTTTAAATTAAATAAGAATTTGTTTAGGATGATAACTGTTATAAAAGTATATAATACTATATATAACATTGTTACTAGAGAAATTTATTTTCTAGAAACTATTATATTTTTTAAAGTTAGTTAATAGTTTTATATATTTGTCACGCTAACACTGTAACACATTTATTTATGAACAAAATCTTTCTCAATACAATTAAAAAAAATACTGAATTGTG